CTGGGGAATTCTGGGAGTTGACGTCCACACATCTTAAAGTTGCCAAGGTTGAGAAACACTGCTTTAGACAGAAGCAGCCCAGCTGCCTTGGCTTTGATAAGGCTTTCAAAATGTACCTGGATTCACAGCCTGATGCATTATAAGGAAAATCAGAAGAGGAATTACATACTTCTCGTTCTACAGCTTAGATCAATTCTTCACCTTGATTTACAGTGTTTAATTTAGAGCTCCTCAACAGTGGAAGCACTTCGTTTTCTTGTCTATTTTCTCATACTGCATCGCGGGGGCTTTATTTTTCCTTACATTTAATATCTTACAAGTAATTTCTTAATTTGCCAGCTCAGTGAGCTTTACACAAAAGTTAAAGAAAGCAAAGTAGCTGCTTTTAAGCCTGGATATTCTGCATAATTATAACTGTCTCAGCACTTACAAAATCTATTAATAATTAAATATATTGTGAAATCTATTAATAATGTTATAAGATTGCATTTTTGCTTTTTAGAGTTCCAACTTACGTTAGTGTTCGGATACATTTAGCAGATTCTCGGATGTCCCACACCTTAATATAAGATGTTGAGACTGTGAACACCAAACTAGTATAATTACAGTATTTTACAGATACAACATTGTTGGGATGACCACTCAGAGACATGATTTCCTGTCCAGTAACTAAATTCCATACTTTACAAGTTCGATCTAAAAAGAAAAAAAAATACAACAAATAAAATATGCTATATTATTCTGTGCAATACAGGCATTCATTCCTTTGATTTATTTGTTGTTTCATAATGAATTGCTATTTTGATAAATTACATAAATATAGATAAAAAGTACACATCAATATCTAATAATTATCGTTAAAAGTAGCTCAAATAGTCAACTAACATTAGCAAAGGCACAAACACACGGGCAGCAAAAATTCTATACAGGAAACATTAGAATACAGACCAGATAATAATATTTTCAATTAAAAAAACCAGAAAGAATAACAGTTAAAAAAAATCTTTGGGTAGATGTCAAAAGGATAATTTAATTGTAACATCCTACAACTAGTGTATTTTACAGCAACTGAAGCTTCCAGGCTATTTCAAAGGCAATTCCATCCGCATCACACTGCTATAACCTAACAATAAGTCGTCAGGCACGGAATACAGACTCCCTCGGTTGGAATATCACTCTGAGCTAAGAAGAGTGTCCTACAGAAGAGACACTCAATTGTACCAAGTAACAAAAATGGACCCATGAATGCCTGTAAACATCTGTGAGGGGAAATGCAACCCTTTCAGCAAAACATGTGTCTTAGGGATCACATCCCAATCTATTTTACCAGAGGGAATGATTGATTATGACTAGCTCTCAAGAGAAAGACCCAGGTTGAATGCAGAAGTTAGAAGGCAAGCAAAGCAGGGGAAGCAAGAACCAAGAGCCTCCTTCTCAAAAATCGGAATCAGTCAACTGACACACACTCTTAATTGCCCATGACCAGGAGATTCTCCAACTATTAATCTGGGTCCATATGATTATTTAGAATGAGCATTTCTACCTCCTTGGCAGTAAATGGGACTGGCATTATAAACAATTTGGTCTTGTCAAGGGCAAGTTTCAATGATCAAAGTGTACTGCCTCCATTTTCGAGCATATGACAGCTCTGGAGAATGTTCTTGCTAATAAAATACAGTCAAATGAAAAGGTCAATTCACTGGTTAATTCATTGACAAAATACTTTTGATGTTAATGGAGATAAAAAGGAGCATGAATGACTTCTTAAAACTGGCAAATTAGATCGGCACATCAGAAGCCTGGGGATCTGAACTGCAAGAAGATTCTTTTCAAAGTTCTGTAGGAATAGTAGAACTAGGAAATATGAAGCACCCCAGCTGAATGATGTGCCCCATGTCAGTAGCGGTTTTATATGTTGGTTTATTTATTTATTTTGTGGTTTACAACACTCATCATTTTCTACCATGTTTATTTTAGAAGTGATAACTGCAGTCAAGAAACCATCTTTTATCTTTATATACTATATATGTTTGTTATGTGGTGGGGGGGTGTTGTCTGTTTTTATGCTTCACACTGCCCAGAGTCACACTGTTTATAAATCTTATAAATAAATCTTCTCTGATGAAGTAAATTTAATTAAGGCTGCTAGATCCTCACACCCATCACCTTGAGATTAAAAAAAGTATTTTCTTGGAAAGGTTGCTCATTTTGGCATAGTTTGTTTGGTAATTGGAATTACTCATCCACTGTCTGTCTTCTTTTTTAGTAGCTATCTTTTTTAATGAATTGTGAAACTGGATGGGTGTATGAGGTGGGGATGTGGACCAAGGAAAATTAGGAGTGGAGTAGGAAGTTAAATAGCAAAGAAATGAAGAAAGGTAGACAGAAACTATTTTTCGGGGAGAGCTGCTTCCTGTATGATAAGTGTAACAGAGTGATACAAAGCTTCAATTCAATGAAGCATACACCAATTTGCCCCATCACAACAAATCCATGATTCAAAGCAGGGATCCACTTTGAAGCCACAAATTCAACCAAGAGATCATGAAGTGCTTTGCAACCTTTCAAAGTGGTTGGCTGATTTGATGGCTTTTCTCTAGTTATTCCATCCTTATTACATAGTGACATAGTTGTAACCATAGTTCTGAAGTTGTTATAGGTAATATATGACGTGGCAGCTTTACTTCCACATGCAGGAAGTTTCCACATGCAGGCAAAGAGTGCAAAAAGTGTGGCCACCATTGTGGCATGTGTGTGACAAAAATCTGATGTATGGAAAAAATGATAGGCAAGGATTCCTGGAACAGAACACTTGTGTAATCCAGAGAATATACAGAATGAGGCAGGCAAAAGATGATATAACTGGAACCATGGGCTCTCTGACACATACGTTGCCCGCCAATTAATTTAATCACCTCATCAAATTCTTGGTCTTGAGTTCTTTTGGGGAGTCAAGGCTAACATTTTTTTGGGCTTCAATTACTATTTCAAAATCTTTAATGTAGCCAATCACAAACCTTGACTTTGGTCTCTCTTGTGCTAACAGAACGTTACACTTTTGTGCTCTTTCCAGCATGACTGAGAATTCAACTCTGTTCCCAGCATTTTGAATATGCCAATATTCACTCTTAGGTCAAACTTTTAATTTCGGCACCATCATGGCCGATTTAAATCTCTCAACAATGAGCAACTAAGTGCTAGGCTAATACATCTTGGCAGTGGCCCAAACATTTAGTTTTTTTAAGAACTGTGGTTAACTAGGCTACGAATTGCATAGATTCAGTGCCAGCTCTTTTCTCAGTGGCTTATCTATCTCTCTGACAATGTATCTCACTGTGCCAGCTTGTTTCTGTTGCCTTTGCTAGTTATGTCAATTGCCCAGAAGATAAAACCAGGTTCTGCTACTGATGAAGAGGTACTTCCCAAGAAAAGACAGGCTTATCAACATGCTGCTGCAATGTTCCTGCGTCCCCTCCAAAACCAGGACCAGAAGCAGCAAAGCTTAAAGAGTCGTGGAGTGCTACTCCACAAGACTAAATCAATGGTAATTCTTTCCAAAAGAGTCAGGTTTCTCCCTTCCTTCCTAAGAGTTGCCAAGTTTGCCAAACAGACATACCAGCTCTCTTGGAATTCTAGAAAAGCCAATGATCAGTGGCAGCAAAAACCCACCCTGTCTACCAGGCCAAGTTAATGGTCATTCTTCAGTATTATGCTAGGCCTGGCACCTTAGAAAAGCTAATGGAAAAGAGCTTTTTACACAGGTTTTGAAAAAAATATTTTTAACTCCAAGTAGGATCCTTTTTGTATTCATTCATCTGAACCAGCCTTTTTGCAAGCAATTTGGAGGTTTAAGTGCTGTCAATTCCTCATCCTTCCTACTATCATTGTTGTGAATCTCTTGAAGGCAGATTTTAGAGTTACAGGCCTCTAAAAGGTCTATTATCTCTGCTACTGTCATCTTATCCTGCCAAAAAATAAGCTGATGCTGGTATTTTGATGCCTTCTCATTATAGCCTGCAGATATTTTTTTTTCCACTCAAATCTCAAATTGATCCAACTGAAGCAGTTTGCCCTTGAATTGCAAACTTACATGCCTCCTTGATTTGATTCTCAAATCTCCAATTCAAATTCAATTCAAATCAATGGATTCACACAGGCTTAAAATGTAACATGTAGGTTCGTTCTTAGAACATTCCATTATCTTTTGGTAACACCATCAATACTGAGAGAGAATTGAGAAAGCTACATAAACTCAATGGAAACCAATCAAACCTTTTGATCCAGTGAAGAGAAGATCATCAGTAGAATCAACACAAAGCACAGCCTTCGTATGACCTTCAGCAATACAGGTACACTGAACTGGAGAAGGTCGGACACATTTTGAAGAAACTGGGTTGATTATGCCTCTAAATGGGAAAAAGAACCATACATTAGTCATTGTATCAGTCATTTTTAATCAGATTTTATTATTTCAATCATCTTGTCCTGCATTACTGGAAATCTTTCATGAAACTATAGATTAAGAAAGGAAATCTGTTGACAGAAGAATATCTATGAATGTATGCTCTGCTGTGGCTATATAACAGGACATACACTTGCTCTTCAATCAAGTGAATTTTTCCCAACCTGTGTTTGTTGGCCAAGAGAACAGCAATGAGAAAGGTTAGCTTAATCATGGACCAAATAGTCCTGAGGAGCACACAAATTTACAGATACTATCTTCCATCACAATGGACATCTAAGCCACTGGTTGCAAAGCTACAATTACTGTGCTTGGCTAATTATGGCCAAATCAGAGTCTGTGGGATTATACCAAACCAGGACAATATGTTTCCTGCATCCAGTCTATTTACTTATCCAAATCCACATTCTATGCTAAAGAAAATCAAATATTCCAAAATTTTTGCTAGCATTTTTAACTATTTTAAAAAAGATATAGAATGGGAGAAGACAAATATATTATTTCCTGATGCCCTTTACCTAACCATAGCCTATATTATGTGTGTATGCACACATGCTCACACATACATACACACATACAGTGGGGCAAAAAAGTATTTAGTCAGCCACCAGTTGTGCAAGTTCTCCCACTTAAAAAGATGAGAGAGGCCTGTAATTTTC